TAGGATGTTCTTTACAAACTATAATTTATATCCTCTTTGCGTACATAATTGTTTCCACAGTAAAGTCGAGACCTTGATTTTGTTGGCTTATATCCCATATTTTGAGGGTGGTTGGTTGGTTGTCATGGGTTTAACTCCACTTTCAGTACATGATAGGGAATACATGACAGCCAGTATATTTAGTGGAGGATCAATCCGGGAAAACCCCGGAAAGACCACCCAACCCAGTGTAACCAACGCAACTCAGTGTAATCAACGGGTAAGCTTTCTCACATACCCACGTTGGCTAAGATCGAGATTAGAGATGAAGTCTGAATATTCTTTAAGATTTCGAGGTTGTTATAGCTTACTTAAATCTATTTAAAAATGTTTTATTAAAATTTATGTATGGAAATAACATCTTAATACAAATCAGATAATGACGTATGTCGATGAATCAAATTCTCACTGTATTCATATTTACTTCTATTTTTTTTTTAATTTATTTGTATTTGAATTTTTTCACAGTATGCCAACTATGAGGCATATCGTACGCTTCAAAGTTGTTGCGGTATGTAAGACAAAAACATCATGGAATTATTCATAACATTGAAGTCCAGCCGAAAACAACTAAAACTTAAAGGTGCAAATGGGTGAAAGTCAATACGTGGAGGTAAACCGTACAGCAGAGTGCAAAAATCTTTTTAACAAAATAAATAAATCTCACCTGAGTCGGTCCCTTGGCCAACAAGCATTGAGAATGGGTCTGAAATAAAATTTAGATATGGCTTTAAAAATCAAACTGCTTTTACAATTGTTCAACAGACATATCATTTATTTTGACATTGGCATAGCATGTTATCTCATCTTGTAAATAGAAAGTACTGACAGCCTATAAAACAATAAACCAATGCTTTTAATCTACAATAAAACCTTTAATGATTAACAGCACCAACGTGCTGATTAAATGTGGTCCGAATTTTGAAAGGTTTTGATTCAAGTGGAGTGGATAAATCCACTCTTATAAGATTGTAGTGTATACTCTTTTAATGTACATAACTGCCTCACTTTTACTGAGCAATTTCCTTTTTTCAACAGACCCTCCGTCATAGTTTCGAACACCATATGTTAAATACATGTTTGACTGCATTGCTAGTTGCGGTATATTTATCCATACTCTCCAAACAAATGGACACGAAACTAAATACTCTACCTTCAGTATTTTTTTCAATGCATCTCGGGAAACCACGTGTTCATTAAAAATTAATGCAGAAGATAATTAATCAATTTTTTATTGGTGTAAGAAACATTTTATAAATGAATCTACTTTATCAACTTTTTTATAAAAAAAAAACCAGTCATGTTGATATTTTGTTTGCGTGTGGTCTGTAATATAGTCGAGTTTTTTTACCATTTTCAAAAGTAAGAAAATGTTTACGTACTCTTTGTTATTGGATATATATATATATATATATATATATATATATATATATATATATATATATATATATATATATATATATATATATATATATATATATATATATATATACACATATCGATAAATGCATAGAAAGACTTTGCCATATCTGATTTGGTTATCGAGTTGACAATGAAGTTATCGTGCTGGCAAAACTATAACCATATTAAGCTTCCAGGTCCATTCTTCGCTTCAACTTACTGTATCTCCTGCTTTATGTATAAAATAAAATATTTATTCGTCACCGCAGTTGGCTGGATCTAATTTTCACACTTCTCTAGCAACAACAACAACAACAACAATAACAATAACAATAATAATAACAACAATAATAATAATAATAATAATAATAATAATAATAATAATAATAATAATAATAATAATAATAATAATAATAATAATTTATTATAATAATAATGAAAGAAATGGTCTAACCTGGTGCTTGCCTTCTGTTCCTTGCCGATCTGGAAAATAAATATAACAACATGAAACTTTTAAGTAATTTTATTTAGGTTTGCAAACATAAGCAGTTTCACTGAAGGAAAAAAAACAAGAGAATATACACGTTTGCCACTAGATGTACTAAGAAGGAAACGGTAGATTCTTTATTTTTTAACAGATATCAGAGATTATCAGATACATACATTATTATACATATAACTACTACGCTGTTGTAAATGCCTCTGAGGCTTCTTCATTACATTCCCTTTTCTCTAGGATAAAAAAAAAAGAAAAATTAATTTCTGGCGCACTTTCAAAAAGGTATTTATTTTCCATAATTTTGATAAGAAAACCATATTCTTAAGATAATGGTCCATCGATCCACGATGAAAAAAGCATATCTGCAACCTTTGCATAGCGAAGTTAGAATCTGTGGTAAGACATCTTGACATATTTCAATCAAGCTATCTTCTCTTATGCTCTTTGACTACAAAACAGCTTTAAACAGTTTAATTGAATATCACGATGGCATGATAATCATGTCATGCATAATTATTATATTGTTACTATTATCATGTCATATTATTATTATTTACTGAAATGTTCTGACAGAAAACTGAAGCATTCACGTGTCTTTATTCATTAGTGTTAGATATCGCTTATATAGAAGTAAAATGATATGAAAATTAGCAATTGGATCCAATAAATATTGTCGTTTATCAGCAGGTCTGGTGTTTATGGAGGTGCCCAGTATATGGATGTGTCATAATATTAAAGAAAACTGTTAATTGGGGGATAGTGTCCTTTTTCTGAGGTATATGCAACAAAAGTACAACCACGTTTAAAAATAAAATAAAGATAAAAATACCAAGCACAGAAAACTTTTAATTCAGCTTACTTTCAGTTATTATTTACCCATCAGGGCAGAAAGATCTACTGCAATAAATGTCTTTTAAATATTTATAAATCTTCATTACATTTCATTGGTATGGTTCAGACATGTACAGTTCCTAAAACACGCACCCATGTTTAGTGGACGGTTTTAAGGCAGACAGTGATATAGATAGTATCAACTTCGTTCAATCAGACAATTTTTGATTATTTTCATTCTAAATATTACAAAATAATAATGAATATTGATTGACAGAACGGATATTTGTAATTATTTTAAAGGCAAAAAGGATTGTAGAGAAAGAAGGAGATAGATATAAGAAACAGCAAAAGGGTGCTAATTTATGTATATTATTCCCCGAGAGAAAAAACAAACAATAAAAAAAACCCATAACAATATGTTTGTAAGAAAATGTACATTAATAATGAGACTATAAATTTAATTTAAAACAGAAATAAATATAAAAATACGTACCTTGACTCGGCAAGAGCGATGAGAAGGAAAATGCCAGCGCAGAATAGATTCATGCCGGCACGAAGTGCCATTTTACGGCTATGCTAATGTTTCGACTTTACTCTAAGCACGTACAATTTTTATATGCAAGAAATCATCAAATGCTGTTCAAAATGTATGTTTAAAGTGGCCGCTGTTCTCGAACGTTAGGCCCCTGTCCACTCACGAAAACGGAGATTTCTGGGGGTATAAATACTATCAGATTCAGAAAGCTGTCAGAATCAGATCACATGACTCTATTATAGCCTTACTAATCAAGGTGAGAAGAAACTCGCGTAGCAAGGGAAATGTTATGGTGTCCTGGATGGTTAATAGAAAGAAGTGTGCAGCTTTTGTTATTCACCTTGACATGTTTCCATATGTGGTATTCTTATCAAAAGTTATTTTTTATAAGGCTGATTAATGACTATCCATCATTAATCTTAAAATACTATGGTCTTTCATCCTTAGACACAAACTTTCTTCATTTTCAAAGAACGTTCTGTTGATTCGCAATGTACTTGGATTAATGAGTTTCTGACAAAGGCTGAAATAATACGATGCAAGTTTACTTCGTCCAAAATTTAAGAAATGTCAGTGCCAGAGTTGTTTCTTTTATGTATACTATACTTACCGTTATTGTTAATGTGTGCTTCCAGAAAACTCTAAGTTGTATAAAGAAAAAATATATAGAAATGCATACTGACACATAATATGAATGCGATTTTAAATATATTTATTGGCATTTAACGCCGATCCCTGTCAAATGCTTTCTTTGGAGTTATGAAACTCCATTAGCAATTTACGTCATATCTTGTTTTGTGAAACTTAATAACTGCTTATGGCTTTTATTATCAGATATAACATTGATCTCGGAGTATCGTTGTGCTTTAACTGTTATCGTCGTGAAGAAAATATTATTATTATTATTATTATTATTATTATTATTATTATTATTATTATTATTATTATTATTATTATTATTATTATTATTATTGTTGTTGTTGTTGTTGTTGTTGTTGTTGTTGGGCTTAACGCCATCCATTTTTCAGTACACAATAGGCTATACATGGCAGCCAGTATTAATGGTGGAGAAAGAAACCTGGAAATCACCGGAAAGAACCACCGACTCACGAGAAGCTACTGGCAAGCTTTCTCACATATCCACATTCGCCGAATCCTAGACTCGAACCCATTCAGACAGAGGTGAGATGATAATGATCCGTAACGGACAGCTCTTTAGACCACTAGGTCACTCGGGGCCCCGTTATTATTATTATTATTATTATTATTATTATTATTATTATTATTATTATTATTATTATTATTATTATTATTATTATTATTATTATTATTATTATTATTATCTACTTAGTGTTCTTCTCATTTACCAGAAATAGAACTTATCCTCGTTTTAAGCAATACTAACTAACCAATCTCATAATTTATATAACATACTTAATGACCTCAAGGTGAAAAGATAAACTTGAAATTGCAAATATAACAAGGATATGCTCAAATTCAGTTTATTTCACAATTATGAAATGGCGACTGTTTATGTATTATTAATACATCGTATCCAGAGAAAGGTCACCAGTAATCAGTTAAAAATGTAATGTCCCCCGTAGCAATTACGATTTAAAAGTTCGATTGAGACATAATGTAGGTTGGCATTATTCATTATTTCCTGCAAAGGTTCGGGTATCTTCAAATTATGTATGACCGCTCCGTTGGTTTAGTGGTTACAGCGTCCGTCTCGGATGCGGGAGGTCGCGGGTTCAAACCCCGGCCGAGTTATACCAAAGACTTTTAAAAATGGTACTAATAACTGCCTCGCTTGGCGCTCAGCATCAGGAGGTTAATGTTAGGACTGGTTGACCTGGTGTCAGGATAATGTGACAGGGTGGGACATCATGCCACATGTCTGCGGCATGATGCCCCAGTGCTATACATCACTATAAACTGTCACACTGCAGACATCGTAGCGATATGACTGAAAAATTGTTAAAGCTACGTTAAAAATACACACACAAATTATGTATGTTAAAGAGGTTAAAGTAAAGGTAGAAATATGTTTAAATTATATATGTTAAAAAGGCTTGAATAAAATGTTTTATAAAATTCAATTAATTCCAATAGCAAAAGTCGGTGATAATAAAATCATTGACAGCTGTGTGGTATAAGGAATGAACGTCTTTACGCCACTGCCAGTTGTGAACAGGGGCACTGAAAGCACCCGCGAAACTCTACCACATCTCTTCTCGAAGGATAAACATATTTTGTTACAGATTTCGAGAAAGCGATCTAAGTTAGAATACACTAAAACCAGCTTGAAACTGCCAGTGCACTCGATTCAATAACTGTGGAAGATAATATTTTCAAAATACGAACAAAAGCAACGTTTGCCCTTAGAACTGATGTTTCATTTTTATTTAATATTATTTTCATAACCAATAAATAGGCGAAGTTGTTATTGTCACATCCGTATTAATGATAAAACTTGGGTTTACTTATTTCATTTTTACAAAATATGGAAATATCTTTGTACATGAACATTTGACGAATTCTGAGTTTGTTTAGTTCATTTAATGTTTATTTGTTTTCTAATCAAATTGGAATTGTTTTCTCTTTCAAATTAGCATCAATGAGCAAGTGCGAAATGTCTCAAGAAAGACAACTCCTTCAGCGAAGCTCGTGATTTGCTATTAGTGATATAACGATACAATAACATATCGGGAATATCAATACTTTTGCTACGAAGAAATAAATTATATCTACACCCTTTATCGCGATACGCACAATACATTCAGAGAACCTAAGAAAATTTTGTTATATTTTATCTTTTCCTTCCCTAATAATATAAGATACCGTTCCCTCTGTTTTCTTCATCATTTATGATTAGAATTGGCATAACTTGGGTACTTTGTATTTATCAGATTCCACAAGCTAAACGCATTTTTTTTTCTATCTCACATCGCATGGATGTTGTTAAGTTTATTTAATTTGCATTGTGTGGTTGACTTGTTTCCATAATTGATTGCAGGAGTTTGGGCCTACGTGCATAATATCATGTAGGGTAATCATGTTTACTAACTTTGAGGTCTCGATACAGCATTGATTCTAACCTTGGAATTTTCCCAAAAAGAAAATTTCATTAGTTCGATGGAAATTTCCATTAAGATAACAGAGTAGTAGGGACCTATATAAGACTTTATAATTTAGAATGTTCTGGAAATGAGTCTTTGACCCTCATCTGGTTTTCCAGTTGTGATTTGTTTGTTTTTTTAATGTTAAGGTTGATTGACGCATTCCTACCTTAAGATCCTGAGTGGATTCTGTCTAATTGCCGTGTTTAGTTTTTAATTAGATGAGAAGATTTATTTATTTAAATTACTTTCTGGAATTACAATGTCAATATTATTGGACTAAAACATTATTTTGGGATTATTGTGAATTCATTCAAGAACATTTTGGATTATATCATTTTGAGATATCACATTCGAAACTATTACCACATCAGCACATAAAATATTGGAATTCTTTCGGAACACCGCCGGCATTCATTAGGAATGATGTATGCTGTTGGACTTTATAGAACCTTTATGACTATTTGGGGGTTAATTCACAATACCATTAAGTTCTTTTTAAATTTTCATTTTTTATTCAATGAAACTAAATTATTTTGTTGAATTTTACTAAACTTTCTAGTTTTTGCTCTTTCTGTTACTTAGTTTAAGACCATAGAGTCGTAACAATACACGTCATTAAACATTTTCAGTCATTTAAAGTTTCCTCATTTCAAATTGTGATGAACTTGTTCTCATCTTTACTTACCGCTCTGTAACGCAGAATCAGGCAATTCTCTACTGGAGTTGTGAGAATTTTTGCCTTTTAAAAGTATTGTTTCGTATGTTTAGCGGGTTTCAGAAAGTCCAATGAAAATTCGATAACTTTAAATAGGTCTGATCAGGTAATGAGTTTTTTTATTATTAATTACGCAGTTACATATAGTGCGTTACATCAAAGGTCTGATATTGAGAAGATGGGAAAAAAAATATTTGTTTGGACTAAACATACTGCCCTTTAACCAATGGAATAAGTCAATGATCAAATAAGCACTCTCTCTCTCTCTCTCTCTCTCTCTCTCTCTCTCTCTCTCTCTCTCTCTCACACACACACACACACACACACACACACACACACACACACACACACACACACACACACACACACACAAGCACACACACAAGCACACACACACACACACACACACCAGTGTTAGTGCGAAATCGAAAGTTCAAGTTTGGAGACTACAGAGCTGGTTTTTGTTAATGCCACTTTCTTTTTGAGTGATGCACTTGCAGACCTCCATAAAAGTTTGGTTCGAGGACTGATTTCCCTCTTTGGAAGATAGTTTCGTTTACGGTATTTCACTGACACCTCCACATACGAATTTCAATCTCATAATATAGTCTGCAACATATGAGATGTAGATGCTTATCAGTTTAGTTTGAGTGTAATATTTGTTTATGTTCATTGTGATTTTATAATCTTTAATTCTTTAAATAAGGTTTTATTTTTGCTGGTGTTTTTTTTTTTTTACCCCACACCGTATCATAGTGTTCATTTGTATTCAATAATGGGTTACATAGAGGGAATGGTGGAATATAGTTTGACAGGTCTTTCGAATGACGATTCCTCTGTCAGTCATACCTCATGCAAATATGTACGCAGTATTGATTGATTGTATTACTGTATCTCACATTTTCCATATTGTGTCCACTTTATATCAAATTCTCTTTTTATTCTACTTTATACTTTTTTGTGCATATTTGATAATTTCATATTTTATCATTTTCATCTACATTCCGTTTGTCTCTTTCAGTAATCTATACACTTCAAAGCTATATGCTTCATTTCATTTTGTTTACTAGGTGGTTTTTCTTTTTCATTAAACTATTGCCGTCCAAGGATATATCTTTCCGTTTTATTATAATTCTAAGTATATTGAAACGAAGAGCATTCTTTTAGTGTTATTTCAAGTTCAAATCAACATTGATACAATATATCTGTTTTGTATCTTGTGCTCCTCACTCCATAGATGGTCTATGATTAAACGGTCTACTCTATGTGTGTGTGTGAAATGCGAGCCCTATCTATTGTATTTACTTTCACTTTTTCCACGATTTTATGATTCGTACTATGTTTTCAAATCACAACCACCATTTTAAATGAGATCAGATATGTCGATGTGTGAAATTAAGCATGTCTGCATTGATGGACGTACGACTTTAATATTTAATACTTTAATATTTAATACTTCTGCTTGGTATTTTAGAAACAAAAACACACATGTCGCAGTTTTGTATAAGCATCTATAAAGTAGAGTGATTTCAAAGACGTTTATACTGTAAGTTTTTAAAATATTATTTGGGTATTAGTTTTCAGGGGCTTTCCTATCTTTTGATGCAATGTGGTGGTAGCCCATGATTCGCCTGCTCAGTTTCTCTTTTAGAATTAGTTCTGCGTTTAGAGATATTTAACTGGGACAAATGTTTCAAACTAAGTAATGCGTATAATTTTCCAGCAAAAAAAAAAAAGCCAAATTGGAAAAGTCCATACAAACATGTACTCTATATGCAATGACTCCTTAAAGATTTTATCCCATCTTTTCTGGATCTGTTCCAAAACCGAGTCATCACTTTCTGTTGTTGTTGGGCTTAACGCCATTTTTCAGCACATGATAGGCTATTCATGGCGGCCAGTATTAATGGTGGATGAAGAAACCAGGAAATCACCGGAAAGAACCACCGACCCACGAGAAGCTACTGGCAAGCTTTCTCACCTATCAGCATTCGCCGAATCCTAGACTCGAACCCACGCAGACAGAGGTGAGATGGCAGTGATCCGTAACGGACAGCACTTTAGACTACTTGGCCCCCATCATCACTTTCTAATTGTATTGGATTAATATTGAGTAGGTGTACTCATCTGCACACTTTTCTAGTTTCTAAAATAGACTTTATTAATGGCATTGTTACAAACCAGGGGTCTTTTACTTGACCGAGCGGTGTCAAAATCCTCGGCTCTAATCCCACTAGAAGTCATAAGTTTACCACATATTTCCAAAGACTTCTATACAACTTCAGTTGTAAGTCGGAAAGCCAGACGTGTCCATTCTGTACATAAAGTTTACAATAATTAATAAAAATAGTTTCTAAAAACTTGTTGAGAAAATTCATCTTCTAATTTTATATAAGCGGTATAATTCATTTTTAAAAAATCAGTTTCTTCTGGATAAATATTTAAATTATATATACCTGTCATCATTCCATTTTATACGGGCTAAATATGCAATATTCTTGCCTGACGACTAGCACCATTTTGCAGTTTATTTTATTTATACGGTGTCAAACATTTTCTATTCTGTATTTAATACTAATCATTCTGGCACGAAACACGTGCATTCTATTATTTTCTAGATATCTTTCTATTCTGTATCTATCGAGAGAGAATTGTACACAACTGGCTTTCGTTTGCTCACTCCATTATGTACAATTTATTTCTAGAGGTGTTCAGTTTCTTTGCTCATTTCGATTGAACGGATATGTTTTTTAGCTTGGACTAAGAATAACCTTTATGTGGATGCCTACACGTATGCCATTATGTAGCCAGGAACATGCAAGCATCCATCCATGCATCCATCCATCATACTCTACGACTTTCATTTCGTCTACAGATAATACATGGGGAGTTTTCGTAGATGTGATATTTACAACTTTATCATCTCAAATATGCAAA